TCTCCTAATATTTTATTGTACCTTGATTTTGTCAATCAAGAAATAACTTGGGGCTGGAGAGATGGCTCAGCAGTTAAGAGCACTGGCTGCTCTTCCAAAGGTCCTGAGTTCAATTCCCAGCACCCACATGGTGGCTCAACCATCCGTAACGAGATCTGGTGTCCTCTTCTGACCTGTAAGCATACATGTAGGCAGAACACTGTATACATAATAAATAAATCTTAAAAAAAAAAAAAAAGAAATAACTTGGGAACCCTGGCTTTTAAAATGTGTACTTTATAAAGTTTAGATAATGGGAAATTATCTGTTCTTTCCTGTGAAGAGCTGAGGCTTGAGCTCAGTTTATTGAGTGCTGGCCTAGCATGCACAGGGCCCTCATAAGCCTCATAGAGGAAGGCAGACACAGAAGATCAGAAATCCAAGGTCATTCTTGACTCTGGTATACAGTCTTTTAAAAAACAAAACAACAACAAAAAAAAACCTTCTTGTAAAATAACCTCCTTCACCCAGTCAGGTTGTATTTCATTTTCTTGTGTTATAATTGGTCACTTACGTTGATATTCTTCCATTAGAATGTAAGTAGGTTCCATGAAAACCAGAGACTCCATCTGCTCACCTCTGTCCAGTATCATGTCCCAGGCCCTCAGTACGTATTTGTTGAACCAGCCCAAGTGCAAAGCTGAGTAGGAGTTTTCATGTACTGAGTGCTGAATGCTTTATTTCGGAATGAGTAACTATCCTGACATTAGTTAGTGGGGGTCAGATAGGCTATGGTGTATTCCAGGCCCTGTACCCCTGAGTAGGATTACAGACATGCATCACCACACCCGACTGTTCAGTTCATTCTAAATTCCGTTGTTTCTTGTAGGTGATCAGAGGACTGCTGAAATTTTGGCCAAAAACATGCAGTCAGAAAGAGGTAGGTTTTAGTAAAAAATACAGTGCATTGCAGTCAGACTTTGCAGTCTTGACCTGCTCCAGCATGTGGGGAGCGGGGAGTTAGCACAGCTCTGAACTGTGCCCACTTCCTCGTGTGCAGGTGTGCCTGTCTCCACAGCTTCTAAATTAGTGTCATCTGTTGTAAAATTTTTAACACTTGTTTTTTAACCTAGGTGATGTTTTTAGGAGAAATTGAAGAAATCTTAGATGTCATTGAACCAACACAATTCAAAAAGATTGAAGAGCCCCTTTTTAAGCAGATATCCAAGTGTGTCTCCAGTTCTCATTTTCAGGTATCAGCTTCCTTCCTGGGTGACACTGATTTGTTCCATCCTTTTCCCCTGTGAATTTTGATGTTTCTCATTATCTTTTGTAGGTTGCAGAAAGAGCACTGTACTTCTGGAATAATGAATATATTCTTAGTTTGATTGAAGAGAATATTGATAAAATTCTGCCAATTATGTTTGCCAGTTTGTATAAAATTTCCAAAGAACACTGGAATCAGTAAGTTTTTTTTTTTTTTTTTTTTTAACATATAAACAGCCCTGGCTGGCCTTGAAATCATGTATTACTTTTTTTTTTAAACCATTTGAAACCTCTACTGCAGGTTACCTAACATCACAGTTTTAGATATTAGAGTTGTATGTGAATGTTCCTTAGCAAATGGTCTCACCAAAGCGTGGTCCAGTACACTTTCGGGAACATCATGTGGCTGAGCTGCACCTGGCCTCCCAAGCTAAGAGCTCAAGACTATACATTCTAACATCTGTGACATTTTCATCTTGCTACCCAGGGTTTCAGACGAGACACACATGAAGAGAACCAGAATATTCTTAGCTATGTTAAATCTCAGCATAACATAGGAAGGGTGTAAGCTTTGGAATCAGATCATACATGCACCTTTGGCTTGTGTAACCAGAGTTACATCATCTAAAGATAATTATGTGTTCAGCGGACACCAGCCCAATTCAGAGATGAAAGTGCTGTGTTTCCCGGCTGCTGGCCTCTAACCCTGAACTGGCTTCTTTCCTTCAGGACCATTGTCGCACTTGTGTACAATGTGCTGAAAACCCTAATGGAGATGAACGGCAAGCTTTTCGATGATCTTACTAGTTCCTACAAAGCCGAGAGACAGAGGTACTTGATACACTTTATAATTCAGTGTTACTCAGTTCAGAAAGGTCTATCTCTTATTGGTTGGATCTGTGGTGAATACTTTAGCCATTATAATTTGAAAGCCTCTGAGCACTAAAGCCGTTGCCCAGAAAAGTAATCCTGGTATTTTTATAAATTTGTTAAGGGTGACATGACTCTCTTCCTCTGATGGTTAGATTGTGGTCTTCTGTTGGTCTCATGCTGAACCTTAAGCTACTACCCATGTACACTGACTGTATTTTACACAAACCGTTTGTCCACACTGGCTTCCCTGACAGTTGCAGTGCTGTGGATTACCAGCAGGTGGTATTGAGGTCAGCATACTGTCAGGGCCCTGGCTTAGGATGACAGTTATCTGGTGTTCCTTGTGCTGTATTTTAGGGGATGAATGAATCCATATCCACCTTCAGGAACATGCCTTAGTGACTATTTCCTCATAAGGTGGGCAGTGACTACTCCATCCTCAAGGCTGCCTGCCACACACTGTTTTGTTTACATAGAAAAGATCCAGCCCTCCAATAATTTACTGAATGCATTCTTCTCTTAATAGCTTAATAGTTCACCAGGGCATAGTGGGACTGGGGAAGGTATAGGCAGTCAGATCTCTGACTCTAAGGATAGGACTATATAGTTGAGACCCTCTGTCAAACAAAATCCCACAAAGTTCAGATAGGAACACAGTCTGAGCCCAGAAAGCAACAGGCAGAAAGAGGTGAGTAGGGAACTGTAAATTGGTCACGTGACTGTCACCAGATTCTTTAAAATGAGCTGTAGAAATAAAAGCCCATGTTTCCATGTTTATGGCCTGTACCCAAACTGAACATGAACTGATGGGTGGGTAGGAGCAAAGGTGGGGCTCCTGCATCGCTGACCTAGGGCCACTCTAGTGACTGTGGTAAGCTAATCCATGTGTGGTCACATAAGCCTACAACCACTTGGGAGGGCGACAGAAATGAGGTATTCCACACCGTGAGCTGCCAGTGAGTGACTTCCTTGAGCTTCTGATTAAAACTGTTGGTTTCTCCTCAGAGAGAAAAAGAAAGAATTGGAACGTGAAGAATTATGGAAAAAATTAGAAGAGTTGAAGCTAAAGAAGGCTCTAGAAAAACAGAACAGTGCTTATAACATGCACAGTATTCTCGGCAGTACAAGTGCCAAATAAAGATCAGCTCCCACCTCTGCTGGGTGGGCAGTTTTGTACACTTTTTTGGAATATATAAAAACTTCAAAGCAAACCTCATCAGTATAATATAATTAGGAGGCCAGTTTTTCCTGGCAAGTGTAAGTGAAAGAAATCTGGACTAAACATAGCCCTGTGCTGTATCATGGCCACAGTCTATTGTAACCTTTGCCTAATCATCGACTGTCACCGTCATCACGTTAGGAGTGAGGTGGTTGTGGGAGTGGGGAGAATCACGACTTGAACTTGTGATTGTGCTGCACACAGAGCGGGTTGTCTTCTGTGCTTTCATAGTGCTGCAGCCCTCGTCACATCTGAGGAAAGAGCTCCGTCAGATGAACTGAGGTGCTGTCATTCCCTTCTAGGGAGAGGGTGGGATAAAGGCCCACATCTTTGAAGACACTGCCATTCTCTGGGTTCTGTGACACCTTGCAGTTCCAGGCTTCTGAAGCACAAAGTATTAAAGCTGGGGAAAGTAAACCAAAATTCTGACTGCTCCCAAATACCCCTTCAGCAGCAGCACCCCAGAGTGTAACAAAGTAGCATCAGCGGGTGGACCTTAGGCTCACCTCTCCTTCATTCCTCTCCAAGGCTGGAGGCAGGGCCTTCCCAGTCCTCGACTGCCCGACCCCAGGCCTGCCTGCAGGGTGGAGGCTCTGAGTCCCACGGTGTGATGCAGACTGCTAGCTGTCACTGCCTGGCTTTATTTAAAGGAAATGCATTGACTATGTAGAAGCCTTGTATGTTCTTACCTGGTCAGGTATTTCTCACATGTTGTTATCAGTACCATTCCAACCTCTTGCCTTGCTGTTGTATGGAAACCTGTTTTATAATGAAAGATCTTCACTGGGGATTGAGCAGCATTTAATAAAGTCTATGTTTGTATTTTGCCTTATGTCATCTTTTATATCTGGGAGATATTTACAGAAAATCACAACTTGTGGATGTGTTCTAATTAAAATTAGGATGCTTGTGGTCCATGGATTTATAATCTGGCCATTTATTGAAATGTAACCATTTAAAGAATCTTTTATAAAATAAAATCCCAAGCTTCATGTCCCTCTGTGTTCTAGGACAGGTTTATCATTAAAGCTAGTTTTAATTAAAACAGGCTGGGGAGGGGGTGAGTCTCATAATCTACAACAGCAGCCGTTCTGTGAAAGGCTGTGAAAGCAACCTGGACAGCCTCCATGACCCTGGAAAAACCTTCCTTGAAGTACAGTGGCTTGTAATTTTTGTCACATTATCAAGCAGTGGACTTTCCAGGGCCACTCTGTCATCCATTCACACAAGCTGCTCCCTTAAGGCCCTGTGCTGCTCACAGCTGGGACAACCATAAAACACAGGCTGCCTTTCCAGAAAGTGGGAGTTTGGTTTCTACTCAATCAGTAGGCAAAAATACTTCCTAATTATCTAAAGCAAATATAATAGCTTAACTTTTCACAATACAGGAAAGCTCTAGTGTTCGCTGAGGCAGATTTCATTAGATATTTAATTATTAAAGTGATACGCCACTTAGAGTTTTGTAACCATGCTAAGCACACACCCTACCACCAGGGCTGCACTCTTGCCCCTAGATAGACCTGGAGCCTTTCACTTATTTTTAATGTTGTTGATGTGTTTATGCTCGGCATTACATACTGTAATGGTATTTTACAAAAAAAAAAAAAATAATTTGTCTAAAATCTAAATTCATGTACATCTATGAAACAGAAAGGTAGCAGGGGATATTTCATTATACAAGTTTATTTCTAGAGATTCAGCCAAAACAGTTTCTTGCTGCTAAATTTGGAGACAGAAATGCCTAACTTATACATGTGAGCAGTTCCCTTCAGATTCCCCAAGGCCTAATTGTGAATTCTTTGAATGTTACCATATTCCCTCTGGACACACAATTTGGAAAAGACAGGGCTTGGGTTTATATAAGTGCTATTTGTCAAAGCCTTAAAGGCCACCATTTTGGGTGTTTCTTTAGGACACAGTGACCTACTAAGCAGCTTATTCATAGTGTGGTACGTCCAGCTTACCTTCCCTGGAAGCAGTGGTGACATAGCTCGGGTCAGAGCCGCCGTGGTGCCGTTTGGGTTGGTGGTCACAGTGTGAACACGTCCAGTATTACACACCTTGAGGCAGAGCCGCTGTGGTGCCGTTTGGGTTGGTGGTCACAGTGTGAACACGTCCAGTACTGACACCTGTTGGTTTACTGGGTATTCACACTCACTCCTTTTGTACTAGCCCAACTTTATTTACCTGTTAATAAAATCAAGGTACACTAAGTAGGCGCCTACTATATACATCTGTGCAAGTGCTTCCAGCAGTGACTACTGAGCTCACACCTCCGTCAACACAGCCCATCACAAATGTCATCACTAGTTTCTAGTAGCCTTTAAAGTCTCATGTAAGACCAGGCACTGTGGTACTGGCTTTTATTCTCAGCAATGGGAAGGCAGAGGCAGGCCTGGTCTAAACAATGAGTTCCACCAGGGCTACATTTAAAAAAAAGTCTCATCTAGACTCTGACAAGTTGTTAAGTAACAATAGTAGATGTGTAAAAGTCATGAGGAATTTTGTATACAGGGCATATCTGTCCACTTTAAAAAAAAAAAAAAAAACTAAGGTAAAGAGGGAGCTTAACTATTTAATGAACAAATAGGAAGAAGCTGCCTTCCACAAACCCCCTCCAAGGCACTAGACAGCTCTGTAAAATGTCTGTTAATAATTTAAGTACTTAAATAAGTTTCAGGCTAGTCATTGGATGTTTGCCTGTGGGCTCGAACAGCCTCCTGGGCCAGGTTTGACCATCCAGTTTGAAAGACTGTCCTTCCCTGCAAGGTCCCTTCAAGTGAGTACAGGATTGCTGGTGGCTCGGTTTGTCAGCGGGAGAATAAGGCTTCCGTCGGTTTGGAGTGTCTTGGCGGCTTCAGCTTATGTGGTTTGTTGCCTGGCCTCTTCTTTTTAGGTATCGTTTCCTGATTTTGATCATCCACTTCACGCTTAGTTTGGCAAACTCTGCTGCTTTAAATAAGGCAAGGAAAGCCCCGCAGAGGAGTGCAATGGTGTTCCAGGGATTGGCCGTGATGATCTGTGGAACAGAGAAAAATGGGGTTGTTGGTTTGCATCGACCCTGACTCTCTGTGTTTTAGATTTTGGAGTCACCAGCACCACGTGCCTCCGCTCACTCAGACTTAATGCCCACAGCTGGTCAGGGGGAGCCATGAGCCCCGCCACATAATAAAGTAACTCAGAGGACACTCCTCCTCGATACTGTAAGACATTCGTGCTGAGCTTTAACTTGGTGCCTTAGTCCTACCAGTGACTCAGATTCCCCTAAAGTCTTCTCATTTCAGTCTCCGGTTTCCAGATGGGGCCCCCACACTCGTCATGTGGACTCTGCCACTCGGCCTCTGCGCCTTCCTTCCCCTGCTGGGATGTTGTCCTATCTGGACTTTATAATCCTTCCAGCTCAGCACTTTGTCCAGCCATTCAGCCAGAAGCCTTTCTTTCGCTGAAGTTGTTTATCGCATGGAGCCCCGTGACAGCCGTTTACTGTCTAGCAATGATTTAAAGCAGTAGCTTGGTCTCCATGGAATACTCTTATCCCTGTGCAGTGCTAATGGACTCAGCCTTGTGCTTGCAGGACAAGGACTCTTCCATAGAGTCTTCTCCCTCACCAAACTTAGGTAGGGTTCTGGAATTCCCATGTGTGGCTAAAAAAAAAAAAAAGCACTTGCAAGCCTGGTTCAGTGGAGTAATCTGAGACAGAATGAGCCCCTGTTCACATGTGCACAGTGGCCATACCTCTGCCTTCAGGACTGCTGGGACGCATGCTTCAAGGGACTTCAAGGGCTCTACTTGGACCAAAATAAGCCTCTCATAACAGGTAGCTCAGGTGAAGAACATCAGCGTGCATTCCTTATGGGCACAGCTGTAAACCAGTTCCTTTCACCCTAGCTGTCCAAGCCTCAAGCCTCACCCCTCACAGAGCCTGGGCCAACAGTGACAGCAAAAATACATCCATCTCACAGAATCCATCCTGGGATGTGAAGTGCCCGTGTTTTTAAGCTTTAGAATCTCTTCCCTATTGCCATGATCATCTCAGGATGTCTTGTGATGACGTGAAGAAGGCCACTCTTAGCAGTACTTACATCCTGGACCTTCTGGATGAAGGGATCTTTCCATTCAAAGACCACAAAGAATAACTGAGTACTCTTCTCGGCAGCCGGCCTCTGGTCAATGTAATTAACCACACTGGTCTAGGTGCAGAACAGACAGAATTAGCACTTCTGGGCCCTCCCTTGCCTGGGCCTGGGAAGAAGAAGCAGGAAGGGACTTGGCTCTCCTAACAGCATCTTCCAGAGAAGGAAAGTCAAGTCTCATATACAAGACCTTTTCACTGGTACCAGAGCTGGCTGGGGCTTTACAGTTCTTTGAGAGAGAAAAGATTGCAATGCCTGTCACCAAAATCTACCATCAGATGTCGAGACTCACAATTAAGCCATATTCAATCTACTACAGAAGACAAATTCAAAAGTCCCAAATTTCAAAATACTTGGGTCTTAAGGGATAAGCAGTCTAACCCTTCAAGTCTACAGGGACAAAATGTGGCCCCCACTCCATGTGACAAGGCAGCTCTCTAAGTACTTAGTAGGTATAAGTGGTAAGATCTGCCAGTCAACTATGAAAGAAGCTCCGTGAGATAATGGTGAGAAGACAGGCTTGAAAGGCATGGGCCACCTCTGATCTGATGCTCACATTGGCCACAGGAAGTCAATGCTGAGATTTACTGCAGGGCTGCCCATGAGTGCGGTGACTAAGGGCATGCCAAGCCTTCGTGGGCCTGGGCAGTCATGTTACAATAGCATTTTGTAGTCTTGTTTTCAGGGTTTGTCACCACCAAAGGCAGGAAAAATCCTGTCCCTTGACTAGACCTAGGTGCCAGGGTTCCACGTGCACAGAGAGAACTAGAAAAACCACCACTAAAGCAGAGGTAGGGCTAGGTTATTTCCAATTGTAATGAAGCAGCCCTCCCGAAGAAGCAAGCAGATCCCTTTCCATCCCACAGACGTGCCTTTTCTGTCTTCCCCTGTTCTTCCCAGATCACAGTAAAAGGACCCCAGCAATCTTCCTGCCTCAACCTGGCATGCTCCTGGCTCTGGGCCAAGGGACCAAAAGCCTTCTGATCAGCTCATCTTCTGCATCCTCACAGGTCATCACACCCCACTATGCCTGGTCCCCTCATCCCCTACAATCCCTGGCAGCATCAGGAAGTGCTTCCCATGTCTACAGGCACAGAGCTAGTTTTGTGGAGAACAAGCAAGCTGCTGTGGACTGCCTTCAGCACATGAAGCCTTCACAAGACTACTAAAGATATCCTAGGGCCCCACCCAAAAGACCCTTCCCCTCAAAGTCTGCCTCTGCCACAGATCCAACTGTGGAGATCATTATGTTTGCCAAGGAAACAGCCACTACCTCTTGCCGGAACTCGACAGCTTCTCGGCCGTCCTCCTCTTTGGTCTTCACCAACGACATCTTGACCCAGGTGCGGAAGCCTCCTGAGAACTTCCAGCTGGAGTAGGCACTCTCACAGGCCTGCATGAAGCCCGCTTTGTCTGGGCTTGGGGAAGCGAGAGAAGGAAGGTCCAGGTTAATCCAGGCCCAACAGCTGGAGCCCAGTGGGGCCAAAGCAAACTCTAGTCCCATGTCAAGCTGGTTTCTTTTCTGGTACAATCGGGATGCTATGGATTCCCTGCTCCCTTTCCAGAATCTGACTGTCTTACCAGGGTTGTTGCTCAGTTAGCATCAAAAGCAATGCCCAACCTGGCTATACCTCTGTTTGGTTTCCACGAGCCCCGCCCCCCACCCCACCTCCACCATGGGCACACTCCTTCCCTCTCACATCACCCCCCCACCACCAGCTCAGTCACCCACACTTGGGTTTCTGGAAGCACCCTGAAATATGGCTGAAGCATGGTGTGCCACACTCAGTGAAATTCAACCTCCTGAGAGGCCCAGCAATGGGAAGAGCGTCCCATGGGAACTGTAGATGAAGCAGAAGCTAAGCACAAGAGAGCAAGTGTAGAGTGGCACACGCCTGTCATCTCAGCACCCGGGAGGACAGCCTGGGCTACAGAGTAATACCCTGCCTCAAAAACTGCTTGGTCCTAGAAGGGACAGTTAGAACACCACCACCCTCCCACTGAAGAATCAGGATAATTCTAACTGTAAACAGTTCACACAGAAAAAGACATGAAGGTAGACAGGGGACTCATTGGGGAGAATAAGGGTTTCAGTGGGGGAGATACTGAGGCCAAGGCTCAGAGATCCAGGGTGGGAAGGATAGCAGAGGTAGTATGTGACTTTCTGTTCAAGTGGACAGTCACCTCCCTGCCACTGTGATGTATCATCCTACATCATAGAAATGGAGCCTTCGGCTCAGCAAGACTAGGCAGGGACAGACAGGAATATTCCTATTTTCTTTTTCTTTTTTTTTTTTTTTTTTTTGGTTTTTCGAGACAGGGTTTCTCTGTGTAGCTTTGCGCCTTTCCTGGAACTCACTTGGTAGCCCAGGCTGGCCTCGAACTCACAGAGATCCGCCTGGCTCTGCCTCCCGAGTGCTGGGATTAAAGGCGTGCGCCACCACCGCCCGGCGAATATTCCTATTTTCTACCAAGTGTTTTAAGCCCCAGAGATAGCACTGAATTGTCCCTCAGTGTTTGAAGACAACAGGAGCTGTCAGCGGGCAGGCATCTGAAGGCAAGGAGGCGCCTCAGCAGCCGAGGCCTGCAGGGGAGCCCTCTCCATGCAGCACTGCATCCACAACTGCTTAACTGCAGCTAATGTAATGGGCCACCAGGTTCTTAGGGTAGCTCCTATCCTGAGCCAGCCCTGCTCCCCTTCCGCAGCTTCATCCCTACATTTCCAGCATGGACATGCCCACCTTTGCATGAACTCGTGGAAAGAGGAGAAGAGGAGGTAGTCAATGGCACTGAAGTCCTCGTTGCTCTGGTTCAGGCTGAACTGGAGAAACACCAGCTCCCGCTTCTTCACTTCCTGTGGCCCCTGGACAATCAGGGCGGACTGCTGTGGGGAAACAAGTCAGAGCCTTAGTGCTCGGAGCTGCACGCTCCCCCAGTGCTCACACAGGCCCACAGAGGCTCATCCACAAGCACTGGCTGGCAAGCCCACAGCAGGGCACCCAGCAGCCTCCGGCGACTGCAGCCAAACCCTCCTGCCCAGGGATGCAAGCTGGCCAGGGGGACTTCGCAGCACAGCACCTGAGCCCAGCTGAGTGTGACACATGTCCCTCTGCACAGGCTGCCCACGCTGTGGAGCACCTTTACTGGGTGAGGGCGTTTGCCCTCGCCTGTTGGGTTGGTGTGTCCCAGTTAAACTTGCTCCTGAGTCATCTACTGATGGGAGTCTTCGATTCAATACGGTGAGTGAAGGCTGCCCGTCTTTCTCTTACGCCTTCTGGGTTGGCTTGCGGAGGAATGCCAATACTTGCACATTCCCCAGGCGTCATGTTTTAAATCTTGCATATGCATACTATGTATGCCTGGCTTTAGTTTTATGTGACATTGTAAGCAACTGGCTCCCAACCTGCCTCCTGCCTTCCTGTACCCTGCACTGGTCTGTCCCTGAGCCAGGACTGTGCTGCCAATGACATCACCCTGTTGAGGAAGGCGACCTTGGCCTGGTCCGGTCCCTCCCTCATATTCTTCCCAGAGCCCAGCTGTTGCAGTATGCACTCTCCTCTCTCCTAAATGTACTTTAACAGTAGCTTGTAACGCCCAGCTAAGCTCACCAGGGCTTTCCACTGAGACAACTGGTGGAGTCATGTGAGATTACCTCCCCTCTCCCTCGCCTTCACTCTCCCTCGCCTCTAGCCTTCACCTCTCACCTTTCAGGGAGCAGGCATGTGCTCAGAAACTGACCCTGACCATGTGGACAGACAACCTCACAGACAGCGGCACTGCTGGGCAGTCCCGTGGAGCAGCAGTGCCCGAGTGACCCTGCCCGCCAGTCAGGCTGCTCCCTCAGGAAGCGTGTTTCCACACAGGAGCTAAGCCGGTGCTCTGACCGGCACACTCTGTCAGATGCAACTCAATGCTACAGGAGGTAGAAAAGCCAGAGGCGGTATGAGCTTCACCTGTGGGTGGTGAGAAAACCAGGCAGTGAGGGGCACACCAATCCTACAGACCAGAAAGGGGGTGGCCCTGGCTGTGGGAAAGCAAATCATTGGCTACAGGCGAACCACCATGAAATCCGGAGCACAAGAAACCAGGAAGTCAACAAAAACTTAGGCAGTGACCTGATAAGACCCTCAACAGGGGTCACTGTCACGGGACTCAGTGGGCTCAGTCAGCCAGAGCCTGCACATTAACAGCTCCCTGCAGTGAGAACAGGCCACCTCCCAGCCTGCCAGCTCAGCCCCAGTCCCCAGATAACTCAAGCTGGAAGCAGATCCTGGGGAGGCGGGCAGTTTCCTCACATCCAGTTCTGATGTGACCAGCAAAGCCTGCAGCCATGCAGACCAGCCTGTAGATGAGGCTGCAGCAGCCAGTTTCCCAGAGAGCAGCAGGAAGGAGCTGGCCGCACACCGCAGCAGAAATGCAGGCCCTGGGTGGCTGTCACCAGAGTGGCAGAGCAGCTGTGAACACTCCAGTCATCCTCACCACGTGGACACAGCGGTGCATCTTACTCCTCTCCTCCCTGTTCCTTTTTCAGAGACGGAGTCTCACTGAGGTGCTCAACAGGCTGAACTGGCCTTGAGCAAGGTCCTCCCACCTCAGTCTCCCAAGTGCCCTGGATGCTGGGTGCACACCCCACACCAGTCTCCTCATTACGTCATTACACGCTGGTTTTTGCTCAGGGAGCAGGTGACCAGGGAGGAGGAAACTTCTTTGAGCTTCACAGCGTGTGGCTGGAAGGAGTTGATGGAGAATATTTACCGTCCCTCAGAACTGGAGGTGGTAACTGCACCTAACATCCTTCCCGTGAAAACACTTGACTTGTGTGCCCCTTATTTCACGGGTTCTATATTTAAATTATGAACTACCATAGCAATACAACAGTTTTGAGTGTGAGCGGCTGCCTCGTAGGAAGCATGTCAGGTCATGGGGGAGAGGAAGCGGTCCCCAAAATGAGCACAGCTGCACCCAGTGCTATTGTGCTTCTCAGAGAGAATGAGGTGAGCCGGGAGTTCAGATGCCACTTTCCTGGCTACGGTTGCCCTCTTCTTGACTGGATTCTGCCGGTTCATTTCAGGTCATTATTTCATGTTGGCTTTGTAGAATGTCCAGTGACACCAACTGTCCATTCTCAGTTAGGAAAACAGGATTCAGATGCCAAGTAGTGGCCCAAGGGTGGATAGACGTCTCCCTAGTGCTTATGTCTGTTTGCTTAACACTCTCCACCCACGGGAGCACTGTAACTGTGGATAGGGAGTACCAGCAGACCAGGTTTCCGCCTGAGATCCCTGCAGCAGTTCTGTCTCCACACCTGAGCAGAGGGCTTTCCCTCAGCTGGTGCAGAGGCTGTTCTGAGGCCTGGCACCCAGAGACACACCTTGCCCAGCAGCTCTGCAACCAGAGAGGACAAAGTCCTGGAGTCACAGCCGTCAGCCATGCTCCAAACTCAGTCACTCAGTCACGCTGAGCTGGGGGCCAGAGGTCAGCACCACCCAGCAGTCCTGTCCTGGGTTATGAGCCTTCTCTGACTGGCCAGCTCCATCAACCAGTTCCAATCAGTAATCTGCATGGTACACTAGCTTCTCCAGCCTTCTGGTCTACCAGTGTGCAGGGCTGTCCTCCTGCCCTATCCTATCCTGTTTTGTAAGGAGTAGGAATCCTTTCATCAGGCTTTTTTTTTCCCCGAGAGGTGGCCTGGCCTGGAAACCAATCAGCTAGAGTCTCAGTGCAGTTTCTTCAACTTGTGGTTCCTCTCACTCGATGGAGCAGGACTGGCCCCACAGCACGACACACTCCTGTCCTTTTTTCTGTCCCGAGCCACATCTCACGTACCCCTCCAGCTCTGCATGGTCACCAGCTGAGCTGTGATGTGGGGTGTCAGCAATCCTTACCACCCAACTTCACATTGGCAAATTTCTCAAACTATGGATTCCTAGGCCCCACCCACAGGAATGGTGACAATTCCTGGAAACTGGTATTTTCAGTGACACCGATAACCACAGGCAGACTTACCTGCAGCCCAGCCACCCTCCCATCAAGCAGGAAGCCCTGAGGGTTATCAGCCCCAGGGGCATGTACTTTGGTGCCTCTCACCTGCCAAGGACCAAGGGCCCATGCCTACAGGCTATAAGAAAAGGAAGGCTATAATCCTTAGCGGGTGTCGATAACAACACACAACCCAGGGAAACGGGCATTACCATGGTGTGATTGGAGAAGGGATGGGTGTAATTGATCCTCTGGGTGGTGCAGTTCCTGTCTCCTGGCTGGCCAGGGCTGGCAAGAGGTGGGATGACCTCATAGTGGTGCTTACAGCTGAGCAGCTGAGCCTGCCCAGGGTATAGGGCGATCCCTGGAAAGAAAAGAAACCGCAAGTGTCAGAAGTCACAGTCCTGAGCACTCCCCATCATCTCACACCTCCCTCCTTGGGAAAGTGCCAAGGCAGCAGCAGAAAAGGGGGTGGAGGCACATCCCCAGCCCCACCCCAATGGAGGGCACTCTCCACCTCAGTCACCCCTCCCCCTGCCTGGAACGGCTTCCAGGACTCACAACACTCCCACCAGAGTATCTCATAGCATAGTGAGGTGCTGCAAAGGCTCTGGGCTGTGGGGTTCCTCAGGGCTCATTTTTCTGCTTTGCTGGGAGCTCCAAGAACACACACCCCATAGTGTCCTGGGTGCTCTCAACTCAGACTCCCAGGCCGGGATCCAGGAGCAGAAACACCGGCAATGACACATGGTATCACACGCGGCAGAGCTGAGGGATGAGAGCAAACACTACAAGAAAAGCCACAGAGAGCCTCGGCACAGCCAAGCCGGGGCAAGAAGGAACCATCAGGCCTGGCTGCGGGGTAATGTCTGGGAGCTCCTGGCAGGGGGACGCTGGCTCTAGCCTGTGTGCAGGATGCCCTTGTGTCACTTGGGGCCAGAGCAGGTGGCACACTCATGGTGGGCAGGGCCTGAGCCCACATCCCTTCTCTGATGCCACTATACAGGGCCAGGCAGATCACCCACCATGGCAGATAACAGTACTCAGGGATCAGTCATCCCAACATGCAGAGAAGGGTACAGCCGGAGCCCTCTAGGCTAGGCCCTACTGACTGTGTGCACCGCCTCCACTTCCCACCACCTTTCTGAGCCCTGCTCCAGCCTGTGCAACTCTGAATGAGAATGGCCCCATGGACTCCTATGTTGAGGAAGTGGTCCCTGGTTGGTGGAACTGTTTTGGGAAGGCCTTGTTGGAGGAAGCGTGTTGCTAAGGGCAGGATTGAGGTTTCAAAAGACTGATGCCTGTTCCCAGTGTACTCTCTGCCTCCTGCTTTCCCTCCAGCTGTGAGATCCCAGCTGTTCCTGCTGCCATGCCTCTGCTCTACCACCCTAGCCTCTAACCCTCTGAGACTGTAAGCCAGTTAAGTGCTTTCTTTTACAAGTTTCCTTGGCCATGGTGTTTTGTTACAACAGTAGAACAGTAACTGACACACTGCCCTGTTCCCTGGCCTTCAGCTGAGGCCCACTGCCTCCCTACACACACACCCAAGGCCCTGCTCCTCCTCCCACAAGCACTTGCGGCCCACCTCATGCCTAACAGAGCCTGGCTCCAATTCCACCCTCCCTGCCCACCCAGTGCTCCACGGCCTGGCGCTGGCTCTCAGATGCAACCTACCACTAATGTCTGTCCTGCTCCACTCTGCCTGTGCTGGGAACACAATGGTGGCTCAGGGAGGCAGTGTCTGCAAAGCCCCAGAGCTGGGGCGCTGATGCCTGGCCCAGCAGGCCCTACCTGGAGCATCGTAGCGGTCCACCTCCTTGTAAGACACAGACATCACAGGGTGCTTGAGCTTTTCTCGGAAGTCTGTGATGGTCTGGTAGACCAGGAAGACAGCCACAGCCATGAGCAGCAGGTAGATGAAGATGAGCAGAACTGAGAAGACGTTCTTCAGGCAGGCCTTGCTGAAGCGGATGCTGCTGGAGGCAGATTCGCTGTCCACACCTGCCCGCAGGACAGCAGAGAGTGACCACAGCAGCCAGCCATGGCCTGCTACCTCCAGGCCCTCACCTACCTTATAGAAGGGGCAAGGCTACCCTCATCACAAAGGGTACCTAGAAACATCAACTCCATACCACCCCTCCTAGCCAAGGCCACCAACATTACCACATTCACCGTCTGCAGGGGCTGGTGGTCTCAGTCAGACTCACATGCTCTCCTCCCCCCACCCCACCCCCCTTCTTAACAACTTTCCCATCTTTCAGTCCTGGAACTACTCAGCTCTGTGGTGATACTGTGTTCCCCAAAATATTGTGCACCCTAATAAACTAATTTGGGGTCAGAGGACAGAACAGCCACTAGATATAGAGGCCAGAAAATGGTGGCACTCACACCTTTAATCCTATCACTTGGGAGGCAGAGATCCATCTGGATCTCTGTGAGTTCAAAGCCATACTGGAAAGAGTCAGGCATGGTGACTCACGCCTTTAATCCCAGGAAGTGATGGCAGGAAGCAGAAAGGTATTTAAGGTGTGAGGACCAGAAACTAGAGCAGGTTAAGCGTTTAGGCTTTGAGCAACAGTTCAGCTGAGATCCATTTGGATGAGGACTCAGAAGCTTCCAGTCTGAGGAAACAGGATCAGCTGAGGAACTGGCAAGGTGAGGTAGCTATGGCTTGTTCTGCTTCTCTGATCTTCTAGCATTCACCCCAATACCTGGCTCAGGTTTGATTTTATTAATAAGACCTCTAAGATTCGTGCTACACATATCTGCCATTGCTAGGCCTATTCTGAAGCACTGTTCGTAACCAACGCTGACATGTCTTCACTTAGAAATGCCTTTTCCCAAGGAAACCTCCTCTTGGTGGCTAATCGACAGGGTCTCCGTGCTGAGCAATGCACTCCTGTCCTTCTGCTATGTGATCCAGACACCATACAACCAGCAACCACCTGTCACCGCTGCCTTGTGACATGACGGACTGGGTCCCCTCAAACCCCTCCTTCCCTGAGGTGCTTCCTGCCCAGACACCAGCACTGCGGTGCCTTGACCTCAGACACGGCGGTGCCAGGCCTGGAGGTTCCTGATAAGAGCCACCCAGGACGGTGCTTGCTACGGCAGCCTGCGTTCACCTTCCCATGATGTCTCTGCCCTTCAGCTCACACCACAGCTCCCTGAGGGAAAGGCCTGCTGTTTCCATGGCTTCCAACATGAACCAAGTGGCGTGGTCACACCACCTTCCTCAGATGACCACTGTAAGATCTGAACAATGTACTGAAGTTTAATGAAGGCATTAAAGAATGGGCAAATGCAGAGGAGAGAATCACCCTCTGGAGATAAGAATGGCCTGTGAGCGCCTCACGTTTTGCCTGAAGGTTCATACCAACCCCCTAATGACATGGTTCAGGATGCCAGAGTTCAGGGCTGAAAGTGGGGAAATTCCAAAGGTAGGTGAGTCCCAGAGTTGAGGATTCTGCAAATGACTGATATGCTCAAATCATTGGCTGGAGACCCCAAGGGCTGGGGGAAACAGAGCTGAAGTTTGAAGAGAAATGGGTGATTCCAGTGGCTACCATGAAAGGCAGTCAGCACCTCAGAGCTTCCGCCCTGCTGTGCTGAGACAAAAGTACTTCAGACCCATAGCAGAATCCAGACCTACAGCTGTACCGCTGCTCTCCTCGGTCTGCCCAGGAGATGCGCCTCAGGAGACTGGGGCTTTCCAGAGAGGACTGACCCAGGTGGGAGGGAGGACCCAGGAGGAAGGATCTGAAGTCAAAGTGAGCACCATCTGCCAATGGGCCGCCCAGATAGGAAGTGTCCTGAGGAGAAAGCAGCATGGTCTGCCTGCTTGGCTACTTCCTGAGTGAGTACTGCCAATCCCTGCTAACGCCTAACTCCAGCTTCCTAGGCCTTCCAACCTAGACAGAATGCCAGCAGCTCTTCAGGAAGCTTCCAGGTTCCTAGCACCAGGGGGACTGCTGAAGCACCAAGCTCTGTGGACTAAGTCTCTCCCAGGTTCTGTGCCTCTCCTGTACACAGACAGACACTGCTGGACTTTATCACGTAAGCCTGTCTACAAATGCTCTTTGATACACACACACACACACACACACACACACACACTTGCATTCTATTAGTTCTGTTCACCTAGAAGAACATGCCTAATACACCAGTGTTCAATTAAAAATTACTAGACACGAGGGGCAGGAGAGATGGCTCGGCAGTTTAGAGCACTGACTGTTCTTCCAGAGGACCTGGGTTCGATTCCTAGCAGCCACAGGGTAGCTCACAATCATCTGTAACTCCAGTTCCAGGGAATCCAACACCTTCTTCTGACCTCCACAGGCACCAGGCACACATGTAGTGCACAGACCTATATACAGGCAAAACACTAATACATACAAAATAATAAAAGATGTGTTTTAACTAATAGACATGGAAAGAATAAAAGGTGATGTGACTCAGGACCGGCAGGGATGGCTCAGCAGGTAAAAGCATGTGCCACAAGCCTCACAGCATAAGATCCATCCCCAGACCCACATAATGGAAGGAGGAAAGAACAACTTCTGCAATTGTCCTCAGACCTCTACACATGTGCCATGGCACGTTTGTATGTGCACATGCACACACACACACACACAAGTGTGCAAGCATGTGTACACACTAAATGTCTAAAGATAAAAGGAAAAGAAAATACAACACAGTCAAGGAAAAACAAGCATCCATAGAGATTAACTCAGATAAGCTGATCACTGAGCCACCGAGCATTTGGCAGTAAGGGAGGTTGTGTGCCTGCTCCATGGTGCTGTTTCTCCCTCCATCCATTTCATTTCCTGTTGCATGAATCCTAATTGGTCTTAATAAAAACCTAGAGCCAGATATCAAGGTGAAAGCTGAAAGATCAGAGAAGCAGAGCAAGCCAGAGCCACCACCTCTCACCTCACCAACTTCTCAGCCTCCAGAGCCACCACCTCTTACCTCACCAACTCCTCAGCCTGAAAGCCACAGCTCCTGTCTCCTCCCGCCTTATACTCCCTTCTCTGCCCAGCCATTTCACTTCCTGTCTCCACCTTCCTAGTGCTGGGATTACAGGTGTGTTTTCCCAAGTGCTGGAATCTAAGGTGTGTGCCACCACTGCCTGGCTTTGTTTCTCTTTCAGACTGGATTAATCTCATGTAGTCCAGGGTGGCCTTGAACTCACAGATCTCTGCCTCCCGAAAACTAGCATTAAAGGTGTGTGCCCCCACTGCCTGGCCTCTGTGTTTAATCTGGTGGCTTGTCTGTCCTCTGATCTTCAGGCAGACAGCACCCCAGTTTCCAGCATCTCTCTCCCTGGTTAACGGGCTGTGGCTGTTCAGCACTCACTCCCGCCATCTTCACCACCAAGGGGGACATAGAGGAGCATGTCTGCTTCCTCAGCAGCATAACTGCTCCCGCCGAGTGCTCCCTGCAGTGCTCCTAACAGCCCTGTAACCGACCTCACTATTTCCTACCAAGCAAGGCTCTCAGAGCTGTGAGCATCCGGGGTTCTCAAGCAGTCAGAAGCCGAACCCCAAACTCCGCATTGGCTCCTGCTCCCGATCAGGTCATATGTCTGCTCTTTCAGTTCAGAAAATAAGAGAATAAAGTATTTTCTGTCAGGATTCTCTAGGTGCCGTAGGCTCAGGTCAGCCAGACCCTCTCTGCAAAGTCTCTACTCCTTCTGCCCTTCTCTCTGTTCTAAACCCATTAGAACGAGGCGAGGAAGCTTCGGGAAGCTACTGCACTGCCCAGCACAGTCAACATCACACAACAAACCAACACGCCGAGGTGCGTTTTTAAGAGGTCAGTTACTGCGGAGGCCACCAGGTACGGCAGAAGTAACTGGTTCACTACACACAAGTCTTAACACTAGATCAAAAAGATGCAAACTCAAGGTTACATTATGCTTCCAAAAGAGTGTGATTATTAGCAAGAGGTCCCAAAGAAACCCAGATAGATAAAATGCTTGGTAAAGGATTCAAAACGTGATTAAATAGTTCAGTGTAGATAGGAAGACAACACAGGATGTGAATAAGAAACGTGGGGGCCAGCGAGAGGATGCAGAGAGAAAGGCACAGAGCTTGCTCATCTTTCTTAATGCTTGTGAAAAACGTTAAGGGAACAGAAACCTATGCAATAAAACAGGAGAGAAAACCGTCCTAATCTTGGGAAAGATGTGGACACTGATGTTCAAAGGCTTTAGGAGCCCAAAAAGACATGACTAGGAGAGATCTACCATGGCATGTTATGGTGCAGACATGACTAGGAGAGATCTACCATGGCATGTTATGGTGCAGACATGACTAGGAGAGATCTACCATGGCATGTTATGGTGTACACATGACTAGGAGAGATCTAACCACAGCATGTTATAGTGAAACTGCCAAAAGCACAAGACCAAGCTGTAAAATCTGCAAGACAAATGTCACTTAGACCAACAGCAGACCCTCGGTGGAAACCCTGCAACCAAGGGTTATACCCAGCAATGCGATCTACCTTTCAAGAATATAGGAGAAATAAAGGCCTTCCAAGACAAAAAACTGAAAGAATCCATGTCCACAGACCAGCCTTACGGAAGCTCAAGGCAGCCTGTGTTAGCCAGCTGCATGTCACCGTGACAGCATGCCTCAGTGGGACAACTTACAGGCTCCCAAGTCTCAGAGGTTACTCTGTGTAGAGCAGAGCAGTGGCTCACCTCGGAGTATCAGGAAGCAGAGAGAGGGTGCCTGTGCTGTGGCTTCCTCGCCATCCCCGCGCCCCTCTCCCCACCCCCGTGCTCTTGTGGGCTGCCAGGTGCCATTCACATGTAGGGTGGGTCTTCCCCACTTACTCCTCTTTAGGGAAGCATGTCACAGACACCCAGAAGGAGTGTGCTTCTCTGGTCTCCCTGGCGCTTCTCAAAGTCATCACCAGTCAAGATTAACCAGCATAAAGCCCGACAGCTACAAGAAAGACAAATCCCACTGGAAGAGCGGAACTCAGAAGGA